TTCCACATTTATCAGATTGAGCCTCAAACATTGAGTCATAAGAACCAGCCTCTTGCACGCCTTCTCCACGACACAACCGTAAGGCTTCCAGCGTCCCTCTGCAATGCCGTAACCAGCGGCACCATTTCAAATGCAAATTCCCCCTAGAGGTTAAGGATCCAGACTGGAGCCCTTCGGCACAACCGTGGCTCCAGACAGGTCCAACCATGCCAAGAGCTGCCAGGGAGCCCCAGCAGGCCAACCCAGGGCTACAGCTCCAGCGTTCCACAGTCCTGCTCTGTCCTACCATCTGCGTCGGGATCTCCCTTCGCTATCCCCAACAAAATCATAAATAATTGCGATATAAGATATACTGGCAATGGCAACCCTCAAGCTGGCCTGGATCCGTGCCAGGGAAGAGCTGTAGAAATGCCACGTATCAGCAGTACTGCTGGCATCCCTGAGGGACAGCGTGGCATCACGGGCTTCCGAGCTCAGCAGTCACAAAGAAGTACGGCTCCAAGGCTACCAAGAAGCGTCAAAGCTGGGATGAGACACCAGCCATTCCTGGTTATCAGTGTTGTTCTCCTCTGCTGGATCAGATTTAATTGGTGAACAGATCCTAAGTGTGCTTCTTGCCATTTTTAAAAGGCAAATGCATCACCGCTCTATAATTATTCCATAATTAGGCTTGGGTGCCATATCACTGGCACTGAGGAAAATACACATTTCTGTCGAAGCTTCCTCTTGAAGGGCAGATAGATTTGCTCATCCTTCAAATGCTAATTATCCCCCAAACTTATCTTTCAGCATTAACGGGCTCTGGCAGGCTCCAAATGGCTGGAGGACATGGTAATTTTGTGCTGCAGGGATTGCCTTGGGCTCCATTTGCTGCCGAGTGGTCTCAGAGCCAAGGTGCTGTCAGTCTCGTTTTAGGAACGCTGGTTGAACTGAGTTTATCAAGCTGCTTTTGTCAATCCCGGTAAAATCAATAAACATCTGAGAGCGCCCCAGCACCAAGAACGTGGTTACCACCTTTCCCACCGAAAATGAGCAAGAAAAGCAAGACCAACTCTAGAAACCGCCATGTAATGCAACATCATTTGCAGAGGAAGCAGAACGGCATAGGAGCACCACAAAGCTAACCTGGACGGGGTTATGGGGCAGCACGCCCCATACTACACGCTTATTTAAGTGCTAGCAGTGCGTTCCTCACTCATTCTGGCACAAGGGTAGCTTGCCTGCATCGTTGGATGTCCCCCGTGCAAAGAGACCACCAAACCAGCAGTTCCTCTGAAAGTTTTGGTTCAAGACAGTCTTTGGGAAAGGGGATCCTTGCCACATTCCCAACGGGCTTGAGGGAAATGCAAGGCTGCGAGGAACAGCATCCAAGGAGAGAACGCTGCACTTGTGCTCAAAACATCAGGAGGGATCTCGGAGCTGGCTCCTCTCTGGGGCTTCGCACAGGCAGGCGTTAGGGCACATCTTGGGCCCGACCTCCTCTTCCTGCCTGCAGTACTTGCCTGTCTTGAACTTCACGTTTAAAAAAATGTGTTCATTTTATTAAAATAATAAAAATTTGCTCCTTTTTCTTCTGAAGTTCTTGCCAACAAACCCAATCCAGTATGACGAGCAAGTTTTAGATGCATTCCTTACTCCTTCACTCCAGCCTGTGCTATACAGTAAGGAAAGTCACGAGGATGGAAGCAGTCTGTTTGCAGCGGTGTCCAGCGACAGGACTAGGGGCAATGGGCTCAAACTGAAACATCAGAGGTTTCAGTTGAATATGTGGAAAAACTTCTTTACTCTAAGGGTGACAGAGCACTGGAACAGGCTGCCCAGGGGGGTTGTGGAGTCTCCTTCTCTGGAGATATTCAAAGCCCGCCTGGATGAAGTCCTGTGCAGAATGCTCTAGGAGAGCCTGCTTTAGCAGGGGGGTTGGACTAGATGATCTCCCGAGGTCCCTTCCAACCCTTGCCATTCTGTGATTCTGTGAAACCACCCCCCGAAATACCCTACAGGGAGAGGAGCCAACACAGCTGAAGGACGCAGTTAAAGCCTGTGCTGCAGGGAAGCACGGCGGGTGCCGTCTGCAGAGAAGCGATCCAGGCCCATCTTCCCGAGCATTCCTCTGGGCACATCACACAGGAGAGCTCCAAACCCTGACAACGCAGGAGCTGTATTCACCGTACCTGCTTTTTCACTATTGTCAGCTACAAAAAAGAAAAAAAAAAAAATTTAAATTGCTACAATTTATTTCAGACAAACCAGGTTATTTTTCCCCACCAGGGATGATTTGCTGTGTCAGCATCTGCTAGAAAACTGTCTTTATCTTGCTAGATACTAAAACCTGAGGGAGTTACTTGCAATTCCCTAACACATTTTTTTTTCCCCCCTCAGCTTTTGTCAAATCTCTCCCCATTTCTGGTCTTTAGCGGAGGAAGGGGCTAGCACAGCACCAAGGTACGCTCCTCAGAGACACGCTCTGCTGCCTTAAGGCAATTAAAAACAACAAAAAAAAAGTGTCTTTTTCCAGAAAGGCAAGGAATAGGTGACAAGAACACTTCTATCAAACAGAAAAGTGGGCTTTTACCATGCAAATACACGACCTGTGAGCACTGAGGGCCATTTGCTGCTCCCCCCACACCACCTCCCCCCAACAGAGCCCTGCTGGTGGAAGCTCCTGGCCATCCCCAGCCCCTCCACAGGGAAGGCTGCACCAGCCAGGCAGCTGCCATCCCCCGGCCCGGCGCCCTCAAGAGCCTAAGCCTGAGCCTACTCCCCACTAGGCCGCGGCCGTCGCATAGCAACTGGGACGGGCGCCCACTTCGCTATTTAAGGCCTAGGAGTCCGCCCCCCTTCCATCTTCCATTTTCATTGGCTCTTCCTATGATTGGCGTGAGCGTTCACCAGTTCTCACCCTCCACGCTCCTCTCCCGCGCCGGGGGCGTGGCACACCCGGAAGACGCCACAGGAAGCCGGGGGCAGGAAGGCGGGGCGGAACGCAAGGGGGAAGAATCCGCTGCGAACGCCAATAGGAAAGGAGAAGAGGGGCGGCTTAGCCAATGGGAGGGCGCAGAGGGCGGGGCCCT